CTGCTGCTTCCTCACACACAAAATGAGTAAAACAAACACACTGATTGCAGAGGCTCTTTTAGAAAACACTGACTGAGCATAAGCTCTGGAATCAGGCTTGTGACCACAGCCGACGGGCAAGGCCCTGAACGCCGCCAGCCCGTATGCAGGGCTTAGCGAGAGAGCTTCAGTAATGAGAGAAGAGAGCAAAACCTGTCTTCGGGAAAAGTAGGGGAAAAAACTGCCCACTCCCAAGTGTTTTTTGCAACCTTATAGTGGTTGCTTCCAGCCATAACCTGAGGCTTCAGGAGGACAGCACAGGAGTCCCTCAGCTCCCTAGTAGAGCTGTCCCAGCAGAGCTGCTGCTCTGGCCGCTCTCCTGCTCTCCAGTTCAAGCCCTCCCAGACGCCCCGCGGTCAGCAGTGCCGGGGGCCTTTTGGAGAGAGAGCTGCTCTGGTACAGTTCCCTGGCTTCCTCTCACGGCTTCGGTTAAGAAATAATTATCTAAAAGATTTGCCCTTCCTTTCCCCAAAGTGTCCTGTACTTAAACGTTACAATCTGATGTTTTCATTCAATATGTCAACTGCACAACTCAATGGTGAACAAGAGCACTGGGCAGGAGCAGTGCTGCCTCGAACAGGGTCCGTACAAATCCTTGCTCACACACCGTTTAGTCACCTTTGTTAGCTAGCTGTTCCACGGCAAACAGGTAGTTACAGCTCTAGACGTGCTTCTCACTGGGAGGAACGAACATGAGACGTGGGAACCATGACACATTACAGCTCCTGGCTGTCTGGGGTGACCAGACCTTAACCTTCCAAAGCATACAGCCACCACTGCAGCCTGAAATCGTGGGTTCTTCTCTGGTTGAGCTTCTGTGTCCTGATCCACCTCAAATCTACCACTGAATTAACTACAGAACATGCAACCTCACTCCCTGCCCTCTCACCTCAGGGATGGGTCTTCACCTTTTCAGTGCCCATTCCTCCAATGTGACTTGCAAGAAATAAAGAGAAAGCTCTACAAGTCTCAACTGCAGCTTCCCAGCACTGCACAGAAGGGCAAGCAGTTGAAAAGGAAACACAACGCAGGAGTTATACCTGTTTCTAAAAAGAACTTTCTTGTCAACTCCTGGGCACGGAAGGATTCGGGCTGCCCCATGATGCAAGGCTTCCTCTCAGGCGGTGCCTGGGAGCTCTGCCCTGCTTCTCACCCCACAGTAACCTTCTACACCTGTACGCAACGGCACCGGCTGCTCCTCCTGGCTCGGCTGAGGGCCTTTGCCTGCAATCTCTGCTCAGTTTGCTACCTCTGCTGTCATTATTTCTCAGGCAGATTTTGCACAGGGCAGCTGAGAGCATCTGAGTTGACCTAGTGCCTCGCATTTCTCCAAATCCATACGGACATACTCACCCATTAAATATTTGGCTTCAGAGATGCCCACAGTTCAGAAATATTGTAACACCGGAGCTATTCAGGTAAGCAAGATCTACTCGAGTGCCACTGCCCAACAACGGGCTCCAAAGGAGCATCCCTCACACCAGGCAAGCGCCCCTCGGGAGGAGCCCAGCACCTCCCAGCACTAAGCAAGGTAAACCAAGCAGCTTCCAGCAACCAAGAGGCAACGGCAGCCTGCGGCACCACGATCCCCACAGCTTCACAAAACGATCACTTCATTTCTTCTTCACAGCACTCCAAAACACCTCAGCCAATGAAACTCCAGCAGGCAAAAGCATTTACAAAGTTGTACCCCAAAGGTGTAGCTAAAACCCATGGCAGAACTCTTCCAGTGCTAAAATAAACTGTCAGGCATACAACTATGCTGTGTAAGGACCACATATGCTTTGTGGGTGAAGAGGATTAGCTGCATCAGAACTCTTTAATATCTGTTTTTTAATAAACTGTAAACTTGAATATTACATATAACATGCAGTATACCTTGTGATGGAGAGGAGCCCAGCAGGGAAAGCCAGAGGGACTGGTAGTTCAGAACAATTTGCGTTTGCTCCCATAAATAGCATTACGGTTGGTATTTCAACTTAGCTTCTTTTTAGAGCGAGGACACCCTACATACAAGATACCTGCCTCAAACACACCAAGCCCCGTCACCCCACAGCAAAGAGTGAGGCAGTTCCAGGCCTTGCGCTCGCCCTGCTCGCCATTTCCCACACCGGCAGAGCTCCCTGGAAGCCGCGGGCAGAGGCGATGGGAGCTTTGCTCCTACCGCCAGGGGTTCCCCCACACGGCACCCGCCAGCATCCAGGTGGCACCCCGTGCCGCGAAGGCGGGCAGGCGGTCGGTCGGAAGGCAACAACTGCTCCGGGAAAGGAAGGGGGATTGTGTCGCACCTTCCCAAGGACAGACCGACGACGGGCGCCAGGCATG